TCAACTCTGATGACTTTGCATCAGCAAGTGATGTTAGGAGCAGTGTTACTGAGGGAGTAGACCCGGCTGTTATTGGCTTTGTACCATCTAAAATTTATGCCTCCAGAGGCAAGAGCATAATAATTGAATCATATAACGAGAACATAAATAAATTGGTTGGTCTCCCTGATCTGGCACCTCTTAAGCTCACAGCTGCTAATCCTGAAAAAAGATTGCCTCGATTGTCTCTCTTCAATGTGCCTTCTGGGCTTACTAAAGATGAGCTTGCTAACACTATCATTTCCCAAAATGATCTCGATGGTCACTTGGCCAGTGAAATCAATCCGATACATAAGTTCGGCCTAAGAGACAAAAAGACGGTTCACTGGGCGATTGAGGTTACTCCTAAACTAAGACTAGAAATTCTAAATATTAAATATCTGGGTATAGGCTGGTCCAATTGTAGAGCTGAAGACAGAGCACGCGTCACTATTTGTTACAAGTGCCACAAATTCGGGCATACTGCCACGAAATGTCAGGCTGAGTCGCAGACCTGTGGTTTTTGCGCTGGTGCACACGACAGGAGGGAATGTCCCAACAAAGATAATCAGGCCAAAATGAAATGTGCTTGCTGTGTCCAATTAAAAGGAGTTAAAGATCTAGCTCACTTACCTGGCTCTGATAAGTGTCTGGCATACTCTAGGAGGGTTAAAAGTCTCATTGAAGATACTGATTATGGGCCTTAACAATGGTCTTATAAAATTCGGCCAAATAAATCTTATCTGGAATACTGCTCTATACACATTACTTGATATTCCACTGGGTCATAATACACATACTTTTGCTTATGCCGACGACATTGCAATTCTCTTTCATGCAGATAATAGAACTCAGCTTGAACGAATCGCTGATAATGCTCTCAGTTTGGTGGGTAGATGGGCTGATGAAAATAAACTCTCCTTTTCCATTCCTAAATGCAATTATGTTATCTTTAGTGGCAGTAGGGCCAGGCGACCGACTATCAAACTCAGTAACAAGCCAATACGCGGTGTCGAGTCTGCTAAGTATCTGGGTGTCACTCTGGACTACAGATTAAATTATCAAGAACATATTAAAATCGTCTGCCACAAAGCTTACTGTTTGTTCTCCAATATCAGAAGACATCTTGCAAGAATTTGGGATCCTCCAGCTGCAAGTCTAATAACGATATAATATGGCTATCGTTCCGATCACTGGCTACGCTTATGAAACTTGGAAGAGTGGTGCATGCTACACAAGAGCTGAACGCAATCTTAACTCCAATCGGGCACTGTGTGCAAGGGTAGTGAGTGGGTCTTATAATGATGTTTCTGCAGAAGCAGCAGGCGTAATAGCTAACATCAAGCCTCTTTACATTGAGCTCTCTGCGAGACTGGCTATACATAACTTTAAGAAGAAGAGAAATGTTACACATATGGGTACTGAATGGGTTACTGCTGAGGCTCCCAGTTTGAACAACGCAAGGCTGCTGGTCGATCTTGCCAGTCTTGATGAATGGCAGGCGTTATGGGATGCACATGATCGCGGCAGGCTCACTCATAAATTCTTACCGTCAATTCACGAAAGGCAGACACTCACTATTCCTCATTCTCGTACACTGGCGACTATACTCTCTGGGCATGGAAGATTCCATAGACACTTTCATCTTGTGGGCCGTACTGACGATCCTAACTGTCCGAACTGTGGCGTGGTTGATGATCCGATCCATAGAATATATGACTGCTCGAATTATGTGTCTCACAGACAGCTGCTTGCAGACTTGATACCCGGCTGGCCTATTGAGCCTAATAATTTACTCGCGTCACTAATTGAAGAGGATTTAGTCGATCTTCTGTTCCCTTTTGCAGAATGTGAAAACCTTCCTACTAACTAATTGGCTCATCCGCTCTTTATTAATCTATCACTTGGCTGTCCTACCTTCCTCCGGTAGAGGTTAAACTGCCCCTCCAAGCACGAGGTAAAACTGCTAGGCTGCAGCCTCTCAGCGACCGTGTTCCGGTCGCAGCTGCACACATCTATCTATGGTCATTAAACTATCTTAGGCCATTTTCTGTCTGCAGAACCATAATATTTCGGCTTTACTGCTCCTGCAAGAGCTTAAACTGCTCTTATAATAATTTTAGTTTTTCTCCGGCCGCGTGCCCTCTTTGCGCCGAGACGTGGCGCGCGGTGGTTCTTAATTGGGCTGTCCAAATCCTCTGCATGAGGTTAAACTGCTAGACGGGTTCTCCCGCCCGTCGGCTACTTTTTCCTTACTTTGGACTAATACAGGTCAATTGAGACTAGTATAGTTCTCTTATTCACTGGGTAAATTGGGATTTAGTTCTAGTATAGTTATTAGTAATTAGATGTAGTAAATAATATAATTATTTGGGAATATTACATTAAAGTTTATTTAAATTTCTACTCCTCAAGAATAATATGGCTCTAAAACAGAGGTTTTAGGTACTCTGTCGCATTATATGCTTCTATGACGAGGGGGTCCGGGCGTTATGCTGGCAGGCCAGCTAATGCTTACTTGGTCATTGCCTTGAAACTTCCTCATTCCTTTTCCTTAACTAACAAATTATTGTAATATAATGTCTATTATTATTGTAAAACTGTATCTAATAAACAATGTAAAACATAAATTATATCAATAAAACAGCTATGAGCAAAAAAGGGGAAGATTGGGGAGATGGTGGTAAGGCAAGGGCTTGTGGGTTGTATTGTGTGTATGACGGTCGGGTGCTGCACTCTGTGCTGTGGCCGACCGTCATGCAGACGATACGTGGGGCCTTCCCCTCCGTCTCTCTTTTTTTTTAGTACCGCTATTACGACACGACGAGTTTTGCCCAAGCCTATCGAGAAGCATTACGGATACATAAGTACGTGTCTCAATATCCCTGTTGAACAGATTAACTATTACCACAAATATTATATTGAACCTCTAAAAGTAATAAACAAACCGGACTATATAAAATACATTATTGCATATAATTTAAAATACGATAAGCAGGCTAAGCAGGAAAACATTCCGCGAGACTTCAGCAGTGACGGTGTAGTGACAACGCGTATGGTCGATCAGGAGCAATTCAATAAACTCTATAATTGTATACAAATACGTTTATTTGATAAAATACCGCATTCGTTAATTCTAAACGATAAGAAGTTAAGTAAACTTATATGTGATAAACTGGACCCCAATCATTATGAACTGGCTGGTGGATAACTCGTTTGGAATCGTGTTGGACGCCAAGGGTAGAATAAATTGCCATTATGTTGCCTCCGACCAATATATTCAAAAATGCTGGGAATCTTTAAAAACAAACATGCCTTTTGGAGTGATGAACGCTGCTTATGATGTAATTCAAATAAATTCAAATTTGATGAGCACTGCCGAGTTTGTAAGTACGTTTGTAAATTCGATGACAGACGATATGCTAGATAAGAGTATCTGCACTTCAGCTACCGACGCTAGGAACATGTCGTTAAGGGAAAACGCGTTGCCAAGGAATACGGACACAAATATGCGAAAAACTATACGTTCTATTCCGCTACGGGGTGCAACCTTGCCGTTTGCATGTTTACCCAGTAAACGTTTTAAGCCCGGATTTAGTTTTTCCCCACTACGTACAACAATGTTAATAGCGGGATTACGCTTCCGCAACTGTCGCCGTTGTCTCAGGAGCCGCTAGCAAGCACGAGTGATACGTCGCGACGTATCATTCGTAACGACGACGACGATAACGCGTCGTCGGAAACCCTGCAGTGGTCCTCAGAAATGAAAAGAAACGAGCGTCTTAGCCAAAAATAATTTTTAATATACAAAACCCACCCACGGGGATGCTGCGACGACCGCGAGAAGTGACAGACCAGGAAATAAATTTGACACAAGAGCCCACATCACAGCGAAATAGTCTGCTGCGATGTCAAAAAATTGAAAAATTGCTGGATATGGTGAATGTGTATCGAAAAAAAATGAACGAGTGTCAAGAACTATACGGGGAAATTGAAATTGAAGCAAGGTATGAAAAGAAACGAGCGTCTTAGCCAAAAATAATTTTTAATATACATTTTTATTTTTGTAGAGCTTTAGGTATAGCCCCGTCTATTGCACCCCCCGATTTTTCAGCAGCGAATTTTCTGGCATACATCGAGGATGGCTGCCCTGTGTGTCATGATGTGAAACCCTTAATAGACTCGCTGTGGAACTCTGGATGCACTCATCGTTTATGTGTGGAATGTGCAGAAATGAACAACAGCATCCTTCAGCAGTGCCCGACATGTCGCTGTGCCGAGTCTGCAGTTTTTTATTGCTTCGTACCGGCTCCGGGAGGGCATAAATTCGACGTCCATTCAGTTAGATAGCCGCGCCGCGCGAGTAACGCCGAATAGAAGTAATGTTCCCTCTTTGGTAAAAATATCCATAAAATGTAACTTGTTTAGTGTAAGAATACAACTTGTAAAAACCAAATACCCGATGGTTCAATTCATTACCCAATAGTGGCTATGCGGGGAAATTAAAATTGAAGCAAGGTGCTTATGATGTAATTCGCGGAATATTGTTAGTTGGTAAAGTGAAACTTTTATCCTCCGTCAAATATTAATTTTTTTTGTATATTTATTTTATTTATACATAATTATTTTATCTGCAAAAATAAAATTGTTTTACATGGAAATGTTATAATAATTATTATAATTATTTTTTCTGCAAACTTGTATTAAACATTACACGCGTACTCGCCAAAACGTCGAGTAGCGCTCATCAGCAAGAACAACAACAGGTGGCTGTCGAGAAGTGGTTGGATAGTTAATGTCCATTTGACATTGTTTTCCATGGAAATGTTATAATAATTATTATAATTATTTTTTCTGCAAAAATGGATTTACATGGAAATGTTATAATAATTATTATTATTCGGGAGAGCCTAAAACTCGCGCTGTAGTGCGATTTGGAGGAGGAGTATGCCCAAATCTTTTACAATAATTTTGCAACAAACATGACAAATACAAATATTCAAGACATCCAGACGAGATGGGTAGGACTAGTTCCCCAATGCATGCTGTCCGTCTTAGAACCACCCTTTAACAAATAGCTGGAAGTGGATTGACAGCCTTTATAACCATTGGTAGAGCTCTTAAAGCTTATCCAGACTTTGATTGGACCACGGCCTTCCATCTTTTTAGTCAGGACACCACTAATTACAGAACTGCACTTACAGTTGTTAATGGAAATGTATATTACGGATTCATCAAAGACTTAGGTGCTGCTAGAAGCACCAAATTCGCTAACTTGGCTTATGTAGCTAAGGAGCTCCTCATACAAGTAGGAGGGGAAGTGTCTTTAAGAACTTACCAAGGATGGAAAGGTCGTGTTCCAGAACAAGGAACAATTGATCTTATCATTGGAGCATACATAACTAATAGAACTGAAAGATTGGCAGGAGCTAGAGATCCAGATGCTGCAACATTAGATCCTCATGAACATCAAGAATTTATAGTTGATGCTGTTCAAGATGATGTCAATGGAACTATCTTTGCATAAGAATTAGACGTTATGTTTAACAGTAGCATGGTAATCAATTAAATAGTATTTACCAATGACTTTGCACTACAATATTTTTGGGTTGCATTTTAAGTTATTTTAGTTTATATAATATTGATGCATATTATCAAGAAGTGCGATTTAGATTGCAAACAGCGTATAAACGAGCTGGAGCTTTTTTCGAAAAAGTCAAAATCAATCAATCAAAATCAATCGCAAATATGATTATGATAGGAGGAGTAAAAAACTTATCCTTAAACCAGGTGATACAGTTATGTTAAAAATTAAAAATAGAAACAAATTTGATCCCTGGTATAAAGGACCATACTCTGTAATTAGCTGTAAGGGTGTAAACTGTGAAGTGAGTGACGAAAACGGTAAAATAGTGTCTGTACATAAAAACAGAGTGCAACTATTTAATAAAACTGATACAATTGTGTCGGCAAAATTGTAAACTTATTGTCTTATTAACCGATATGTTTAATTTTATTGTCTAGATATAAGATAAGCATAAAAAGTGCAATATTACCTTGTATTGTATTTTCAAAAAAAAAAAGGGGGGGGAAAGAAATATTGGACTTATTATGTATTAAGATTTTATTTAGGGCTTATAGGTTAAAATAGAATAGTTAAATTAAGTAGGTATAATTAATTAGGATTAGACCTCCAATGACATCGACTTTTTGAATGTCCTTCATTTATGCGCAGAATGAAGAACATTCTTTTGAAAAGGGAGATGTAGTGCAACGTCATTGGTAAATACTATTTAATTATTGTTACGTGGCAATTGCTGAGTTGTCAATATGTATTATTTAAAAACAGCTATTGTTAATTGTGGACAGAAGCAAGATATGAGTTAATATAGAATGTTGTAAAAGTATTTACGAGTATAATTCCAAGTGCCCTAAGTTCCAACATTACAGCGCTCTGGACAATGGCGAAGGTGGCCGAAGGCGCCCGAGCGCCCGATCCGAGTGGAGTCAGTGGAGTCAAGCTTCCTCTTTCTTGCTATATACGCGCGTTTATATTGTATTTTTGTTTGGCTAAAAAAATTTTTTAGGCGGAACGTATAGAACAGAATAGGGGATACTTGACTCCACTGACTCCAGTAACTCCATTCGGCAGAAATGCAGCAGCCACGGGGCGCTGCCCTTATAGTGAAGGAATTAAGTAAAATTTTCGGAGTTAATTTTGGAGATATTGAAAGTGTCACCGAAGGCATCAAAGAAGCAATCAATAATGAAGGACTGACTGCGGTAGTAGCCTTGGGTAGAAATCCGAACCTAAGCCCAACTACACAAACGTTTATCAAAACACAAACTGCGGAATACGTGAAGGAATCTGAATAACTTGAATGACCAACGCATATGTCTTCCTACGTCGGTGAATACACCGGCGTTAATACGTACCGTAGCGGATGCCGAGATGAAAGTGACGCGTATGGTTTTACGATTTTGTGTGACAAGACTTTTGACACTTACAATTATAAAGTACAGTGCCTCTTTACTAACAAAAGCCCTAATCCGCGTCGCCGCTCTAGCCGAGATTCCGTATGTTGGTGTCGTCTTGTTCTTGCTCGCGCTTATTGATGTGGCGATGTCCTTTGCGGACATTTTAAAGGTGCAAAATATGACGTCCCAAGAGGGCATCGATGGATATGCTCTATTGCGAAATGTCCCGAACCTATGCGATCGACTCTGACGACGATATTTTTGAAGAAGAGCGTCGTCCCTCCGTGCGAGCCATTCCTACAAGATAGAATCCACCACGCAACCGACGACGCATTTCCGGTCAGGCGCCTGCACGAAATCCTCCCTATTTACAAAACCCACCCACGGGGATGCTGCGACAACCGCGAAAAGTGACAGACCAGGAAATAAATTTAACACAAGAGCCCACCTCACAGCGAAATAGTCTGCTGCGATGTCAAAAAATTGAAAAATTGCTGGATTTGGTGAATGTGTATCGAAAAAAAATGAACGAGTGTCGAGAACTATACGGGGAAATTGAAATTGAAGCAAGGTATGAAAAGAAACGAGTGTCTTAGCCAAAAATAATTTTTAATATACATTTTTATTTTTGTAGAGCTTTATTGCACCCCCCGATTTTTCAGCAGCGAATTTTCTGGCATACATCGAGGATGGCTGCCCTGTGTGTCATGATGTGAAACCCTTAATAGACTCGCTGTGGAACTCTGGATGCACTCATCGTTTATGTGTGGAATGTGCAGAAATGAACAACAGCATCCTTCAGCAGTGCCCGACATGTCGCTGTGCCGAGTCGGCAGTTTTTTATTGCTTCGTACCGGCTCCGGGAGGGCATAAAATCGACGTCCATTTAGTTAGATCGCCGCGCCGCGCGAGTAACGCCGAATAGAAGTAATGTTACCTCTTTGGTGAAAATATCCATAAAATGTAACTTTTTTAGTGTAAGAATACAACTTGTAAAAACCAAATACCCGATGTTTCAATTCATTACCCAATAGTGGCTATGCGGGAAAATTGAAATTGAAGCAAGGCATGAAAAGAAACGAGCGTCTTAGCCAAAAATAATTTTTAATATACATTTTTATTTTTGTAGAGCTTTAGGTATAGCCCCGCCTATTGCACCCCCCGATTTTTCAGCAGCGAATTTTCTGGCATACATCGAGGATGGCTGCCCTGTGTGTCATGATGTGAAACCCTTAATAGAAGTAGAAGTAGGGGTGGTTCGTGAGGGTAATTAAGTGATTGATTTATGACCCACCTTGACAGGTGTGTGTAATTAAGGGTTTAATTAGTGCCGACACAGGGTAATTAAGGGATTGATTAGTGCCGACACAGGGTAATTAAGTGACTGATTTATGACCCCTTTGACTGTTTGGTGTAATTAAAGCGATATGGGATACTTTTTGGCTGTAATTAAAGTGCTTAATTTATGACCATATTGACATGTGGTGTAATTAAAGTGGTTGATTTATGACTAGTTTTAAAAATCTCATTGGTATCAGTTTAGACAAGATTCAACAGGTTTTTATTTAAATAAAGAATTTAATTTAAAAAAATAACAAATAATATAGGTACTTTTTTATTTAAAATATAAGTTACCTTTTTTAACCCTGCGCTAGTCGCGGTAGGTCTGTCAGACTCTGCGCTCCGAACTTTCTCGGTTATTCTCGCATCTGTGACCCCACCACTTAGCGCATCTATGTAGCTTATTGATTTATTAGGTAGTTGAATGTGGCAAGTGATCGTGGGGGACCTGCAACTCGTTACCTATCAAACGTCATCTAGAGTCTCCTAGACTCCACGCGACTAGTTGTGTTTTACTTTTTCCACATGATTATTGGTAAGTAGGCCTATTTTCTGCTGTTACAAATCATTATAATTATAAATTTTTAGTTGGAAATGGACTATGAAAACGAGCAGCAAAGATTGATGCGTCTCTGGGAGGAAGTTGACTCTGATGAGGCGCCAATTGATGAAGATTCAGATCAAGATGAGGATGTTGTGGAATGTAGATCTGAAGACAGTGATACCGTTCAAGAAGATGAGTCCTCCGACGATGACATAAGTCCCGTTAGAACACCTGCAAAAATTCCGAGAGCTGCGTTTTATTTGGGCAAAAACAATACCACAAAATGGAACAAGCATGCTCCAAATCAGGCAGTGAGAACTCGATCCTGGAATATTATAAGTCAGCTTCCTGGTACAAGAGGTATTGCTAAACAAGCAAAAAGTCCTATCGAGTGCTGGAATCTCTTCATCAACGATGAAATACTCGATATCATTGTAGAGCATACAAATATACACATAGCAACAAAAGCTCATAATTACAAAAGAGATAGGGACTGCAAGGAAACAGATAAAATTGAAATAAAAGCCCTTATTGGTTTACTATACTTGTCAGGGTTACTGAAAAGCTCCAAGTTGAGCGTTGACGAGATATGGGACAGAAAAGGAACCGGAGTAGAAATGTTCTGGCTCACAATGAGCAAGCAACGATTTCTATTTCTCTTGAGGCACTTACGTTTTGACGATCGTACTACCCGAGAAGAGAGAAAGCAAACAGACAAACTAGCGCCAATTCGTGAAGTCTTTGATATATTTGTATCTAGTTGTCGAAAGCATTATTCTATTTCACAGAACGCGACAATAGATGAAATGCTTCTCGGTTTTCGTGGTAGATGCGGTTTTAGACAATATATACCTTCTAAGCCAAACAAGTATGGGCTGAAACTTTTCTCGTTGGTTGATTCAAAAATGTTCTATACATTGAATCTTGAATTATATGTTGGACAACAACCTGCCGGTCCTTTCCAAAAAAGTAATGATGCTATGAGTATTGTTGTGCGTCTGGTAGCCCCCATTTCGGGAACATCAAGAAACCTCACAACTGATAATTGGTTTACCTCTGTGCCATTAGTCGAACATTTGCTGAGATACCATAAGCTGACTCTTGTCGGAACGATTCGGAAAAATAAAAGGGAAATACCTAAGGAGTTTGTAGAGGTCAAACATCGTCCAATAACATCAAGCATGTTTGGATTTGGTGAAAATATCACGATAATGTCCTATGTTCCAAAAAAAGGAAAGAATGTTCTCATGATTTCCAGTTTGCACAATAGCGACGATATTGATCCCGCTTCAGGTGATAAAAACAAACCTGAGATGATAACTTTTTATAATGGAACGAAAGGAGGTGTCGACTCTGTGGACCAGCTTTGTTCACTGTATAATGTTGCACGAATTACCAGACGCTGGCCCATGGTTATTTTTTTCTCCCTTTTGAACATCGCAGGGATAAACAGTCAGGTTGTTCATGTCTCTAATCACCCTGATCCCAAATCCGATTTGAAACGGAGAATATTTCTAAAGCAAATAGCACTGACGTTGATCGATGAACATCTGCAGAGGCGCTCTCATCAGAAAAATGTACCGGAAACTGTCCGTCAGAGGCGACAAGATGTAGCGGGAACTTCTGAGGCTACATTCAACGTAGGAGAGATACCAGAAGGCACTCGCAAATATTGTTCGGGGTGTAAAAATAAAAATAAGTCTAGGTTCTATTGCCAGAAATGTAAATCTTTCGTTTGTTTGAAGCACGCGAAAATGCTGTGCTTTCTGTGCACAAATGCCATCCTGAAAACAAATTTCCATGTTGAAGAGGTTTGATTGAATTTTCTGTTTTGTCGGAATGTCGACAGCTCCACTTTCCATTTTTTTTTCTTATTTTAGATACGTACAAATGAGATTTTTTTATTTTATTTTAAGTATTTCGACTGAATAAAGCTTTGTTTACCTTTCTCTGTGCTTTCCTTGACTACCTACTATGAAAAAAAAAATAACAAACTGAAGAAATGAATATTATGCATACGGAGTCAGACAGACTCTGCGCGACCAGTGCTGTCAGAGCGTCAGGCGCGACTAGCGCAGGGTTAAACTATCGTAATGAAAATTTGTTTTGCGTAGATTTTATTTAAATATAACTTATATTTTTAATTTTATTCATTCTTTTCAAAGCTCTCTGAAAGCGAACATAAAATGGATCTTTCGTTTAAGCATCCTTTTTGCGGGATTATAAGCGGTCCTACCCCATGTGGAAAGACGGTATTTACTTTAAATTTTATAAAAAATATTAAAGAAATGTGCAATGTTTCTTTTAAAAATATAATATCGCATTATGACGAATGGCAGCCTAGTTATACAGAAAATAAATTAAATATTAAATACACACAAGGTTTACCAAACATGGCAGATTTTAATGGTACCGAACCAACTTTAATTATAATAGATGACCTAATGAAGGAAGCTGGTGGTTCAATTGTGGATATATTTACAAAGGGAAGTCATCATAGAAATTTAAGCGTATTTTACATAACACAAAATCTTTTTCATCAAGGAAAAGGTCAGCGAGATATTTCATTAAATGCCCATTACATAATCTACTTTAAAAACCCTAGAGATAAAGCGCAAATTTCACATTTAGCAAGACAAGTATACCCTGAAAATTCCCGATTTATTCAAGATGCTTATTATGATGCAACAATTAGACCCCATGGTTGGGTTGGGTTGGCAAATTTACACCCCCCTACCAAAAAAAAAAATTCTGTAGCCGATAATCTATCGAAGAAAGTATACTAAAGGGGTTTGTAAATGGGCCTAGTGGAGAGGGGATGTCATCAAAACGCTTCGTGTTGTACGGTATCGAAAAAGTCATTTGAGTGCTACTTTCTAATATAACGCAAGCTCTTAGTGTACGCGTATATTATTTGTGTTTTTTGACTATTGCAATGATAGCAGCAAAACATATTGATAATATTATCTTAGAGCGTGAATACGATCATGTTATTAAGCGTTTCAATTTAACAGCAAGGCGTTTTGTGTTCAGGTTTAAAGAGTTTAATAATGTTCAGAATCCCATTGATTGGCTTGAGGTAAGTAATTCGATTTATTTTTGTAATAATAATTTTTTAAATCCACTTTTTAATAACTTTAATTTTTTTATTTCCTTGATTTTTGATCATTTATATATTTTTTAAAAGTTTTATTAGTTTGTTAATTAATTGATTTTAGTAATCTCGTTTTATTATTAAATGAAATTTAAAAAAAAAATGATAATATTATTATAAAAGTGCATTTTTGAAAACTTTTAGTATTTTATTTCATTGATTTTTTTAATTTTCAGTTTTATTATTATTATTTTTGTAATAATAATTTTTTAAATCCAATTTTTTAATAACTTTAATTTTTTATTTCCTTGATTTTTGATCATTTATATATTTTTTAAAGTTTTATTAGTTTGTTAATTAATTGATTTTAGTAATCTCGTTTTATTATTAAATGAAATTTTAAAAAATATATTTTTATTTTAATAAAAAAAAATGATAATATTATTATAAAAATTGCATTTTTGAAAACTTTTAGTATTTTATTTCATTGATTTTTTTTTAATTTTCAGTTTTATTATTAAAAGAAATTTTAAAAATTATATTTTTATTTTGCAGGCTGGTTTAGACTCTTTGTTATCCTATGGCATGAGGGGTTTCAACGATGAAGATAGAGTCGGCATTGTCTTCACCAATGCTGAATTCCCTGATAAACCCTTGGCAGTTTCATTAAGAAAAAAAAGCCAGATAAATGCGAGTGTTATTCTAAATACAATGGGGATGGTACTACAGAGCAACTCCAGCTTTTTCACGAACAATCAGCTCACTGTGGCCATCGACAGGATCGAACTTCCAACTGGTATGGGTAGGATTTCATTAAAAGGTACGTCGTACACGGAATTTTGCAGAAAAAAGCGTGGAATCGTAGTTGTTAATAATGACGATAATTATTGTTTAGCCTATGCTTTAGCCTTGGGTATAGCTTATCATACAAATATTGCAGATTTTA